AAGAACTAACTTTTGCTCTTTGCTTTTCGTATTTCCCTAACCTCCCATTCTTCCGTTTCTCTCTTTCTCATTTCTCCTGTTCCTTATCTTTTTGCCTGCACCTGTAAACATTAATTCATTTCAAAAATATTTGAGCAAGAAAATAAAAAGTAAGAAAAACAAGAATCGTGCAAAACTTTGTGTTGGCGCCAATATCCGTTGATGATAATAAACATTGCTGAGGAAACACATACCGGCTTTGTTGCTGTTGTTGTCGTTGTTATTCTTATTATTACTATTGTTGCTGACGAATGATAAGACTCTTCTTCTTCTGGTACATCGACACCTTTGAAAACACGGCAAAATAATATCTGATGTGAAATCAACTGTCAACCCAGCTAACTAAATACTGCACATTCAAAAAAAAAAATTCAATAAAAGTTTAGAGAATAACAAGAAGGCCAACTTTACTCACTTTCCCTGTTACTTAATATCCTGTGGTACTTAACAGCACTTAGAGGCTGACATAATCGAAAAAATAGTAATAACAACAGCAGCAACAATACATGTAGTAAATTTAGTTCTGTAGCGAAATTCTCTCTTCTTCCTCAGTAGCGCCTATGAGTGAAAAATTATTTCCAAAATAGTTATCAAAAAGAAAAAGAATTTAACAACTATTGTCTGTTTGTTATCCGACTATAATTACAAAACGGGGACTCGATTAAAAAAACCTTTCCAGTTATATTTTTTCGCCATCAAATTCAAAATTTACTCAAGGAAAAAAAAAAATTCATTGCATACAGAAATTCACGAGCAATTTTTCCTTCTGCTTCTTCCTTAACTGCTATATAAATAGAAAAAAGATTATCATAAATATGATTTACCTACCAATGTATGTACAACTGATATATTTGCTTGTGTCGTCACCCTAACTTCTCCATGACATCGCTTCAGAAAGAGACCTATAAGTGCAAGCACAAAAAAAAATTTTTTTTTTTATCTGAACTTTCCAATTATTTTCGCATCATAACATTAGAATAAAAAAATGAGTAAAAAAAAAAAGAAAAAGCAAATTCCCAACGAAAAAAAAATTTTCGTTTACTGACAGTTATTCTTTTTCTCCTTTTTTTTTCATTTAATTAAACAAAAATTATACAGGGCATTAAAGAAGAGCATAAATGGAATCAAATTCGTTCATATAAAATGAATTATACATCATAAATCCAATACAACTTTCTCCACCTGTCACTCTTCCCGCCAGCGATGCACAAAACAAAAGTAACCTCTGTTCCTCCGTTTTCCTCCTTGAAACATGCCCCGTTGAAGTCTCTTCATCGCGCACTTACCTGAACTTTTTCCACTATACTACCATCAAAAATGGCTTCACTGAAACGTTCTGCCAATCAGCTAACTCTGCCAACAACAGGTAGCCGTCAACTCATGCATCCATTCCGGTTCTGTCCTCTCTCTGCATCACTCAAACACGTCTCATTCAAAAACCCTATCAAGGTATACATATACTTGTTTCAAATTCCTTACCTCATCCACATCCCATTTATTTCCTACTTATTTGTGACATGAAGGGTACAAAGAGAGATGACTTCAATTTGCACTTCCGTAGTAAAAAGAAAAAGAAACTTCGTTTTTACCATAAAGGGAAGCCGCATGATCTTCCTTCATAGCATATTACTCCGTGTCATCTTCAGGTATTTTCAAGAAAGTTCCATGAATGTTATCCATATCCTTCCTTTATTTTTCCCCATATCTTCTTTTCCTATAAGAATTCAAGTGAAATTAAAAGACAAAAAAAAAAAACTTAACTTTTAATCAAAGAGCCTCTCGCTGTAAACCGTACACAACAATACGTCAAAGGGGTAAAAAAATGCACTTTCTTTTTCCTTTTTTTTTCTTTACAGTTACCATTTTGAAGCGGCATAAAATTTTTTTTTTTCTTCTATAAATCAGAACGATAATCTATGCCTATTTTTAAAATAGCAATAAAAATTTTCTCATTTTTTTTTTTGTCTGTTTAATTTTCTTTTCATTTTACAACCCAATAACTAAAGTATAGTAACAATTTTTTGCTTTGATAA